TTTCCAACTTAATGACCACTAAGCTTCTTGAATGCATTTCAATGTTCTTCATCAAATTTGTGATGCTTTTAGCTATTATGTCTTAAACATTTTTGTTGCCCTTTTCTCTATGTCCTCTCTTTCTGGAACTCCCATTATATGTATTTTGGTGTATACAGGTCTCCATATCCCTGTTCGTTTTTCTTCAAACATTTTTAATCTGTTTTTCAGATTGGATAATTGCTATCATCCTGGTCTTCAAGTTCTTTTACTTTTCCTTCATCTATCTCAAATGTGCTATTGAGATGCTCTAGGGAATTTTTTTCACCTATTTAATTCTTCATTTCAATTATTGTACTTTTCAACTTAAGAATTTCTATTTGGTTCCTTTTTTTTTTTTAATATATCTCTATCTCATTCAGAATCTTTATTTAGTGATTCATTATTGTCTTAGTTTCCTTTGACTCTTTTCTAATTAATTAATTATTTTCATCTGTTCTGGGTCTTTGCTGCTGCATGCGGGCTTTCTCCAGCTGCAGCGAGCAGGGGCTGCTCTCTCCGTCCCGGCACACAAGCTTCTCACTGTGGCGGTGCCCGTGTTGTGGGGCACAGGCTCTGGGCGCACGGGCTTCAGTAGCTGCCGCGCGCAGGCTCCAGACTGCAGGCTCGGTAGCCGTGGTACACCAGCTGAGTTGCTCCAGGGCATGTGGAATCTTTCTGGACCAGGAATCGAACCTGTGTCCCCTGCACTGGTAGGCAGATTCCCATCCACTGTAAGACCAGGGAAGCCCTCCTTTAAGTTATTTATACACAGATTCCTTTAATTCTTTGCATATAACTATAATAACTGCTTTGAAGTCTTCATTATATCCAAACTCTGGGGACACCCAAGAGCAATTTCTGTTGACTGCTTTTTTCTCTATTTTGTTTCTGTGAATATCTGACAATATTTTGCTGAAAATGAGATGTCTTAGACAATATATTTTAGTGACTCTAGAGTCTTATTTTTTCCATGAAGATGGTTATCATTGCTATTTGTTGGTTTATTCTTTGTTTGGTAACTTTTTTCAGCTAGATTTGTAAATTGGCTTTCCCCCCACCCCCACCCTCAACTATAATAAGCAGAGGCTGATAGCCCTGCTCATGTTTTTTTTCTTTCTTAAGAAAACAAGTTTTAAGTTTTCATTTTTAAGCTTGGTTTTTCTAAGGGTCACCCCTGTGCCTGCATAGCTTAGGGGTCAACCAGTGATTGAAAAGGGCTGCCAAGTCTGTCCAACTTTATAAATTCCTTTTTTGAGAAGAGAACTTTCCAACCTTCTCATATATGGCTAGTCATTTGCATCTGAGAATATCCCAAAAGCATGTTAATTTTTTTCTTCAGAATTTAGTCAACTGCAATAAAATATTTGGATGATTACATTAATGGTTCCACAACTGTAGGAAATCCCACTACTCAAATTAAACCTACACATTTGTTTCTTCTTTTCCCTTTATTTCTATTTTTTCTTTCATTCACTAATCATTAATTCAATTATTTATATAAAAATGTCAGTTGATTTCCTATTGGGTGCCAATCCACTACTTTTCTAGACCTTTTCAACATATATCACCAGCAGCTGCCTCACTCTTACACTGGCAACCCTATACTATAATTCAACTATATGCTTCGTCAAATTATAAATTACTACGTCACGAGCTCTCAATGTTGTTCTATCAATAACAATAATACAAAATATTTATGTGACACTTACTGTGTACTAGGCATTGTTCTAATTGTCTTGTATAAATTAGTTCACTGAACTCACAACAACTCTATGAACAGTTACTATAATTATCTCTGTTTTATAGATGAGAAGATAGAAACTTGTTTAAGGTCATAGTAGGTAGTAGACAGCAAGGATACGATCTGAATTCAGGTACTAAGTCTCCAGAATCCATGCTGTTAACCACAACATTACACTGCCTTATGAGTGTGTGATCTGCAAATGCCAAGAATCTATTACTTCACTTTGATATTACCAAATCCACTAGGGCAGTGAAGTATATACTTCAAAAGACTGTACTCTCAGTCTTTTCACTTGAAATTATTGTATCCAGCATTCAAAATGACATTTTATTAAAGTGTATTGAGTACAAAGAATTTTTATATTAGAAGTTGCTAAGTGTGTTAAGAGAAAAGCTGCTATTATAAAATAAACATCTAAGAATATTCTAACATAACAAATCCATTTTCAAAATCAGACAATTCATATCTACTGATTGAGATGTGGAAGGCATCAAACATTTGAATATAAAACTAAAATACCACACATTGGTAAGAATTAACTATAACTATAGCATGTTTTTTAACATTTCAGCAAATATGTAAACATGTAAGTTCTCTCTTTCTTGTTACAATTGGTTTTTCCACCCCTATTCTCTCTAAAACATGACCTCATTATGAAATTCCTCATCTATAAACTTGTAAGTATAAATCCATTGGCAAAAATATAACTGTTTTACCCATGACCATCTTGCTTATTCTGCCATTTAAAATATTAATACTATTCCAGATCTTCTGAGAGATTTCACAAAGATTCTTCTGCTAAGAGAATGTGTTGACCAGTGGCAAAACCAAGACAATCACTGCCAACTTCCTTTCTCTTAAAGCATAGACAACAAAGCTGAGCAATTGAAGCACAGAAATTTGTTTTGATGCTCTTTTTCTCATATAGTATCTTTCAACTGACAAAGCAATTGTGTCATAAAGAACTAAATGTACACTGTGAAGTACAACGTGCATGCTCTGAGGCTCTGTAAATTGTAAATATATATATTTTTTTAATTGTATTCAAAATGTAACTATGCTTACTTTAGCACCATTCACTTGGACTGAGATGACTAAACCATGGGTACAGGGAATTATGAACTCTAGGAAGAAAGCAAGCAGCTAAAAAGACCAAAGAGAGGAAAATCTCCTCAAAGTGGAATAATTCTTTCCATATAAATAATTTGATGATTTTTTAAAATAACCTCTATGAACTGTGAGGTAGTGGAAGAGGAAAGTCAAAATGACAGATTGCTAATCATGCCAAGAGACCTCTTTTCCCTTTCCTGATGATGTTTCCTTAACGTGAGTGGTAGTTTCCTTAGGCAGGCCAGGGACAGAATGCTGCTTTACTATATAAGTATACTTATATACTATGTAAGTATACTATGTAAGATATATACACATCTGTATAGGGGAACTTAACATACCTTAAGCTCAGACTCCTTACAATATAAATTCTGATAGACAGGAGCAGCAGACCTTTATTAATTAATGCAGGGAATTCTATTCTCAATATTTGTCATGATGACTACATCTTTAAGAAAGAGAAACAAACAACAGCAGTTGCTAGCCTTCCTTAAATTAATAGACAAAAAAATACTTTGAATTTAGCTTGCTGTTCTACAACAAATAAGAGGAAAAGAGAGGAGGAGCTGTCCTTTCTCTCCATTAGAATGAAATGTTTTATGAATCTTTATATTACCTCTTAATACTTGTACAAAGTGTTCAGGGTACTCTCATCTCACTATTTTCAACCTAATTATGTTTCTTTTTATTTTACATACTCTGGACAAATGAATCTTCCTGAAGCGCAACTCTGATCCTTTCACTCTTTGTGCACAAAAACTTCAAATCTCAACTTTTTTACTGAATTAAATACTATCATCCTCCCCTGGTATTCATGATAACAGAATCCCAGCTTCTCTTTCCACACTCATTTACTACTATTACTCATCCCTATATTCACCCTGTACTCTAGATAAACCAAACTTTTGATTTCCCAAATTGAGTCTTTCTGACTCAGTCCTTGCCTTTGTTCAGACTTTTCATTCCACCCAGCTATTCCCCCACATCTAACCCTGCAATGCCAAAATTCTGGCTAAGGCTCCACAAAAATAACACTCACTACACAAAAACTTCCCTAACACCACCACTGCATCAGTTATAACACCTCTTTATCCTGACTTGCCAAAGTATTTTTTAAACCTCTCTGATAGCCTTTATCAAATCCATCTGTGATACAGCTATTTGTGAGTCTCAGGTTTGCAGCTTGTGATACCATGCCTTTATCTATATTTGCTGAATGGAATCAAAATCACTGCCTAAGAAAATACTAGGTAAATCTTTTCTTAATATATTATCCCCTCCTCTTTTTCTGTTCTCTTTTTTTTTTTTTTAAATTTTGTTTTCCCTGACTTAAAAAATAATTTATCTTTCATTAAACAAAAACTTTGGTTCTTCATCTTTTTCAAATAAGTTTTCCCTTGATATTTTCCCCAAAGCGTAAGGGATCGCAGTTCTGACAATTCTTGCTGATCTGTGGTGAGTCTGCCATAAAGCTAGACAAGCATTTTAAATGTAGGGAATCAATTTAAGGAGCTCACTAGAGTAAGCCTGCCTCTAGGATACCAAACTTTAATTATCAATAGTCTCTTTTTTCAAAGCCACCAGAAATACAGTAACTGACAGCAATATTCAAGTTCCATGAACAGATCTAAAGTGATTTAACTTGGCAAGATTTTCTACCACTTCTCTCCCAACCAGCCAGGTCCTAAGCTAATCAATATGAATTAAAGTTTTAAAATAGCCATTTATGAAATGTCGAGACTAGCTCTAAGGAATAAATGCTTCAATAACTTTAAAAAAAAAAGGAAAAAAAAGAGCCATTCATACATGGTTACAAAATATAAAGCAGCTACAGACAGGCTTAAAAGCAATACTTAAATCTCACGCCTACACAGATATATGGAACTGACTAAACATTAGCCTGGATTTCAGAAATAAAAAAATGTAATACAACTTTGAACTGTTCTCTCTGACATCACCAATACTTACATAATAACAGAAGCCTAAAGATACACAGTACTAGTTCTGAATGTGTAATTACTAATGGGTCCTTCTTGCCCAAAACGAATTTCTTTAAGGTTTTAGAGCTGTGGGCTCTGCCAATTTGCATGGTTGATATTCTTGGCCAATAGGTCAATTAAATTACCTGTTGAATGAGTGAGCGAGCCTCTTCAGAGACACATTCTGGCATGTTCAAAGTGGTGTGAGTATTTATTCCTGCTGGATGGCACTCAACCAGAGTCTGAAACAATCAATCACATACACTTCTTATCCGAAATAACATCATATTCTGTTCCATCACAGGGTTTATAGACAGCAAATACAGACAGCTCAACAACCACCTTCGCCGCAGTGCCCTCTAAGCAGTCTAGGACAAAGGCTATGAGCCTAAAGAACTTCTAACTGGAAAAAAGGCAGTCCTCAAAAATCGCATCATAAGCTTATGCCACTTGCCCTTTTCCCTTAAATATAAAGAAAACGGCCCATAATAGAAAGATTCCATTACAGCCAAAACCTAAAACAGGATTCGGTATCTCGAAAATTTTTTAATGTTCTTAAAAACATCCAAAGTCGAGAATTTGTTAATAATAATGTTTTATATATGTATAGCACCTTATGGCTCAATGTATTAATATCTATAGGTGATTTGTATATTTCACAACAATGTTAGGAGCTCAGTATTAACTACATATTTAAGGCAGATGACAGCTTACAAAGGTATGATTGTTTATTTCCTCTATTTTAGTCCCAGGAGGCAATCTGCACAATACTCTATTAGAATCTATTAACTTCAGATATCTTACTTAAAAGATATTGATCAGAGAAAGTATGAATTCTGTACTTAAGCCACAACAGAGAGGAAAAATTTACAGAATTGAGAAAAAAAATCATGCTACCTTTAATATCTACATTAATTTTCTAAAATGATAATTCCCACCTGATTTCAGACAGGTGTTTAAAACAGAGAATTCTAACAAATCCTTACACAACCCTTACAGGTTTAACTCTGTTAAAACTGAATCACAGAGAAAGAAGAGAAAGAATCTCTAGTCTTATATCTTGCTATGTACTAACACTGTGACATAAGAGAATTTTACTATCAATTTATTCAATGTAATACAATTCTACTTTTTAAAAAATCTGGACTCTTGATAAATTTGCATTTTTCTGGTGTCCCATCTCTTTTGATATCAAGGTTTTCTTACTTAGTCCCCAGCCTAAAAACTAAAGGCAAAGGCTAAATATTCTCCATTTGAAATCCAGGCAGCATCTGGATAAACTTATTAAACCTCCAGGTCACTGCTTACCTTGCCAGTGAGAAGCTCAAAGAGAACAGCACCCAGACTCCACCAATCGCAGGCTGCAGTTTCTTCCGTGATCGCTCCAACCTCTAAACACACCGAAAAAGGTGGACATTAAAATTCTAAAGGTCAATTAAGCTCTCAAAATTAACATGTATTAGCAAGGTGACCTTTTTAATGCTGAGAGAGCACATACTAAATACTACTGGGCTTTCAAAATTCCTGAAAGTTACTTATCCATTTGGTCACCTACTGTGGTTGCATTTTTTTTTTCTATGCAGTCATATATTAAACTGAGACATTTGTTCTTTAGCTGATAGAGGGACACCTTCAAGATGCTATACTTAAAAGTTACATGAATCTACTAGATCAGCATTTTGCTTAATTTTTCAAATTTGAGAATATACAGTCAACTCTATCTCAGAGGTCATTTTTTGTTTTCGAAATAAAGACTCTAGGTTTCAGAAGGAACTTCAAAAATTACCTAAACCAGTATTAATTATCCTTTGAGTTACAGACCAGAAACCAGAAAGGTGAAATGTCTTGTCCAATGTCATACAGTAAATCAGCAGCAGAACTAAGACCCAGTTTATAGCATCATCCCTCTTCTATATAATCGTTTTCAACTAAAGAAGGAGCATGTGAAATGCAAATTTACTCATTTTGTTATTCAGAAGTACAGACAGATACAATGTTTTAAGCCACAACTGAAACTACTGGCTAAGATAAGGGCTTTTAGAATATCTCCAAATTACAGTTTTATCTGTGTTATCCCTATCTCTCACCAGCACAAGTTCCTGAAATGTAATATAGTTTTCAAGTGTCATCTTTCAGGTTTCTCCACAAATCAGCAATAACTCCTCACTTCACCATTTTTGAGGTTTTTAGCTAACTCATGTTTTGATGTCTTCTTGTCCTTTCCTAATAAGATCCAACTAGTCACTAAGCCTGAATATATCTGCCCTTTCATTTCCATTAGACTGACAAAACATGCTTGCTATTTGTCTGCAGGTAGCCCACAACTCACAATCATGCTGAAAAGGCTTTGTAAGTAGTTAGGTTGGAACTTGGACAATAATAACATATGGAAGACATGCTCAGGTGCCCAGTCTTTTAACGGATACTTAGTGAATCTACTATGTTGGAAATTCAAAAAGATTTGTAATACAGCTTGAGTTTTAAGTCTTAAAGTAAAGGTCTGACACGCATCAGAAAGAGAGTCATTTCTATGCAGACTACTGAAATTACTCCACTGCAGCAACCCTCTTCCTTATCCCCACCCCATCCTGGGTTGCCAAAGGCCTCCGTTCAACGACACCCTCCACACTAGCTCCCACCCAGTCCTTCCTCCCCCGGTTTTGCTCTCCACCAAATGGCAATCTCTGTTCTCTCACGCAGCTGCTCTCAGCGGGCTGGTAAGAAGAAAACACAGATACTTCACTAACGCAAGTTATTGTGTGAATGACCACAAGTCTCCCAATCCCCTGAGAGCCATTTGCAGTCATGAAATAGCCAATTTGAAAAACTGACAACTACCTTACTATCTGACAACAGAGGTTCAGTTAAACATATATTGGCACATCGATGAAATATTACTACATAAGCATTTTAAATGATGTATTCACACAAGGCTGAAGTATGTAAGTAAATGTCTGGATATAGCAAATTTTAAAAAACAAGCTATAAAACAATAGAATCTTAATTTTTAAAATATGTATTTTTTCCTAAGACACTGGTGAGAAAATACAACAAAATATTTTAGTTTTTGCCTCTGGGATGGTGAGATCTTTATTTTCATTCTATACTTACTAACCTACACGAATATCTAAGTGGTATAGTTTTAAACATATAGTGAAATGACATGAAAACTTCATTCAGGCTTGTTGGAACAGGAAAGATGAAGCTACAACAGGTCAGTCCTCCCTAAGAATCTGTCTGCCTACAGTTTGCTCTACACCTTTACACTTGAACTTAGCCAAAAGGCTGAGAAGCGATCCTCTACTTTAACGTGCCATATGATATATTTGAGACAGTGGAGGACTAGGAACCGAGAGTCCTGGCCTAAGAGCCTGGAGGAATTCACTTGATCTCATCCTAACATGAGGATTAGATCTGAGGGCCTCTAGGTTAAATTTAGCTCTATAATCTACAATTCTGACACTTACGGATTTCCTGGAAGGAGATTTTCTTGAGGGACCATTCCTTGGGGGCTCTCATTTAAAGTACTTACACTACCCCTCCCAGATTCAAATACACTACCCCCACCCCCATTCCTGGCATCCACACAGAGAGACACCATCACCTTCAGAAGAGTGCTCTAGAAACTTCGGAAACATTTGGAAAGTAGAAGAAATTTACCACAGCCCTGTCATCATATATAACCTTTTGCACATTTCCCTCTAGCCTAAGGCAGGCAATAGATTATATCACTTACCTATTCAAAATTCTGAAATGACTTCTCGCTAAACATTCAGTAACATTCAAATGTCTTGCTTAACCAGGCATGTATACATTCAGGTCTCCATAAGGAGGTCTCAACATATTTGATTCATTCAAACCAACACATAAGCAGTACAAACTAGGTCCCTGCTAGGCACTATTGCTCTGCAGAACTCTATGACTTACTATGTTGCTGAAGAATGTGAAGTCAAAGTCAGTTTCCCCCATAGCAGGGTTAATGGCTTTCTTCTTAAATATCTTGCTCAAGAATATGCTATGTTATTTTCTTTAATCATACAGCAAGGACTATATATTCCTTACTTTTACAAAGGTGTTATATGTTCACAACTCAGGGTCCCAAATTAATGACCAGCCATCTGTTTTGAATGTGGCACCTCCAAGTCTAACTTTCTGTGTATGATTGTTGCTAGTAGGCATGTATTGCAATAATGGTAGTTGCAACAATAAAACAGTAACTAACATCTGCTGACTGCTTACTATATGTAAGGAACTGTTACATTTTATACGAATTATTTAAAATTTCCAAGCATCCTTATGGAGAACTTACTTCGTAGAATGACTTTGGAGAAGAAAGAATACTACGTTTGTGTGTTCAAGGGCAGGGGGAGCACCTAACCCCATCAGCTCAGATCAGGTTGTGAAAATCAGACACGTGTTGGAGGGTCTAACAACAGGCCCCGAGGAGCTCTACACCAGAATCACACCCCGAGCCTCTGCTCACAAAGGTTTCCTGTCACAGCTGAGCAAAGGGCCACTGGGGTGAGTCTTCGCAAGGTAACCAATGTCTAATAAAATTTATAAAGGGACCTTTCAAATTCAGCTAAGGTCCAAAGTGCCATCACCAGTGCAGCCTAGACGACCAAACACTACGTGTTTGCCTGCTCCCCAGATCACTGCTAGGAAGGCGACTAGGGGTGAAACGTGTTACCATGTGTGCGGGCGGGGCGGGGGGTGGGGGCGCTCCTGATGCTACCATAAGTGCAGTGCATCTTCCTGAGCATCAAAGATTTTTACGTGTGAGAGGGGGCAGGATGTTGTTTTATTATTAAAAGAAACACAGACCCATCATGGAACAGAATGTAAACCTTGCATGGATTTGCAAGATAAAAAGACTTCAAAGCAGCGTCAGGATCATATGACTAGTCTCAGAGGCCCCCATCTCATACCACCTGTACAGTCAGAAATACTTGGACAGAAAAGTCTGAGAGGCACTTCCGGAGACAGGCAAGGTGCTACGCCTCTACTGGTTTTCTGCAATCTCGCTCAACTAAGGCCATCTAAGAACAAGGTTCACTGGTTTTTATGCTGCTCTGAAATCTCTCACAATTTTCTGCCTGAGTCCTTAACTGGTAGGTAACAACCAACATACCACTTCAAAACGAGCCTCAGTCTGAGTGTGAGACAACACAGACAGTAGCAAGAGACCCAGACAGGCCCTACAGCCAATTTACCTCCCACTTTCAATGGGCTCACTGTCCGGTCCAGGATGCGCTACACGGCACCTCATATGACCGCTGGCGACACTCTAGCACCATCAACCTTAGTCTCCTTCATCTACTCCCCATTTCTTTTCCCATCTTTCCATGATCTTCCCCTCTTCTTTCTTCCACAAACGGCCTGCTTCTTTTCCCCTCCTCTAATTCTCTCTTTCCTCCCCTCACCCCTTGGCCACCATTGGTTAAGCGGAATTTCTGAAGCACTTGAGCCTAAAGAAACTACTGAAACCCCAATCTAAGAAAAACTGCACCTGAAAATCTGGAGGCAGCTAAGCTGAATATCATCTTTAATCTGACTGGACTAATAAATAAAGACAGCAACTTTGAAAAGTTACTTTTTTTCTCATGAAAACCTGGAAAAAGACACTAAACAATTTTAAATCCATCCCCTTAACAATGCAGGGGATTGCATTGTTGCATTTGTCCACTTCAAAATGAGTTTATATTAAGCAGGGATTCATTAATTAATGTGAAATTGACATCATAACCAACTGTCCTTGATTTTAATAGATAACTCTGAACTACAACAAAGAGCTTTGTATTTAGATAGGATACAAAGAACTTTCCAATGGCTAGAAAGTGAAAGTGAAAGTGAAGTCGTGAAGTCATGTCTGACTCATAACGACCCCATGGACTGCGGCCTACAAGGCGCCTCCGTCCATGGGATTTTCCAGGCAAGAATACTGGAGTGGGGTGCCACGTCCTTCTCCAGGGGGCTCTTCCCGACCCAGGGATCGAACCCCGCTCTTCCGCATTGTAGACAGACGCTTTACCGTCAGAGCCACCGGGGAAGTCCAGTGGCTAAGAAAATGTAAATGTTGGAACAACTGGAAGCAGAGAGTTATAAAGTTTCTCCTTTAGGGTTTTAAAATAGAATCTCGCTTTCTTTTAATAAACAGAATAAAAGATTTTGGTTGTCTTTTTATCATTCCTTATAGATCAATAATTCTTAGATTAAAAATTTAATACACTCTGAAATCTCATTGCCAAAAAGAAGACTGAGGTTGTGCAATTGTCAAAACTAATACTCTAAGACTGCTTATTTCTAAAGTCTATACAAAATTTCAAGCATTAAACAAGAGTACCGATTCATATATAAAACTACGTGATAGCTACTACAAACACAAGGTAAG